AGAGGGTAAGCTGAGCACTAACGTAAGTGCATTCACTTGTTGCTCATTCATTCGTTGACGGCCAATGTACTAGCTGCTTCAAGTCCCTGTAGCCTTGACTTCCCAGCAACAACAGACTGCAATGATGCAATGCAGTGCTGGACTGCAATGATGGGCTGCAATGATGGGCTGCAATGATGTACTGCAATGATGCAATGCAGTGCTGGACTGCAATGATGGGCTGCAGTGATTGACAGCCACAATGGACTGCAATGATGGGCTGCAATGATGGGCTGCAATGATGGGCTGCAATGATGGGCTGAATGATGCGCTGCAATGATGGGCTGAATGATGCACTGCAATGATGGGCTGCAATGATGCGCTGCAATGATGGGCTGCAATGATGGGCTGAATGATGCTCTGCAATGATGCTCTGCAATGATGCACTGCAATGATGCACTGCAATGATGCTCTGCAATGATGCTCTGCAATGATGCACTGCAATGATGCACTGCAATGATTGATAGCCATGATGCACTGCACCTATAGACTGCAATGATGGGCTGCAAAAAGGAGTTATGGAGAAAGCAAAACAGAAAGCTCTTTCTCCTCTAAGTTGCTTTGGTCAGGGTATTTTATCTCAGCAGAAAAGGGAACAGGTTGACAAAGCCACCCACTCACAGCCCTCCATGGTTCAGAGGACTCAGTCTGTGGGAGCAACAAGAACAGCATGGAGGATAGGCTCCATGACAGAAGGAGCATGTGGTGAGCTTGGTCATTGATCAGAAAGCAGAGAAAATAGGCCAGAACCAGAAATGGCCTGCCCCACCTCACCCCCACACACCTATTTCTGCCAACCCGGCCCTGCATCCTAAAGACTTCCTGGACTTCCAAATAGCATCATAGGATGGAGATCAAGCGTTCAAAACGTGAGCCTGTGAAGACAATCCACATTCAAACCACAGAAAGATGGATCCCACCAACACCCTGCTATTCAGGGAAGACTCACACTAAATGGAATGGTTTACCACACTATTCCATTTGTTAAATGTGTTAATAGGCAAGGCAAGACTGGCTTTGGTGATGGATGCTGGGATGGGAGACCCTTCCTGAGGAGGGAAGCCTCCAGGAAACTGGAAATGTCTGTGACTCTGCCTGGGTGCAGGACATCTGGAGGTTTTCCTTCCATGACAGTCCCAAGACCTGGTTGCATTCAGTGTGTCTCCTCTGTATTTGAGACACTCAGCAAAGCAGCCTTGAACTTGAGAGCAATCGCTCTGCAGTGAAGCCAGGGAAAGGCTCAAATTCTCACTTTTGAACTTGAGAAACCATCAGCCTCGTGCTTTTCCTCGTAACTGCACCTTTTGTCCCTGGCCTAGATTAACATCGTCCCTAGCAAGCTCAGCAGAGGGACAAATGCCGGGAACCACTTCCTTATGCTCTGGTCAGTGCCTGTCTCCTGGCGGAGGGAGGAAGGAAATAGCTAAATAGCTTGACTCAAGCTCCTGAGCACACGAAATGCCGGCAACATCAGTAGCAAAGACCTACCCTGGGTCTGTGTCCATTAGACCGAAATGGGTGCCTCCCAGCTTGTACGACCCCTGCCCCCTCTGCTATCAAATAGACGGGACCTGCAGCATGCCTGGCTACAGCCCTGCCTTTCACAGGTCCCCTGTGCCTCCAGGCAAGCACAGAGGAGCCTTCTCTGTAGGCTTCCTGCTGGCCCAATTACGGGAGTGAATTGGCAAGACGACAACACCATTATTGAAAACCAGTGAAATATGATTTGGGCTTGGCTGCAGCACAGTGATGGAAAACCTGCTGTAGCATGCCATTGGAAGGGAAGTTCTAATCCGAGCAAAAGCACTTTAGGCTCACAATGGGAAACGTTCTGGCTAGGTGTCCTTGAACAGACTTGGGGGTCCATGCTCCTTGAGCTTTGAGACATGCTCAACGCCAGAGAACTGGAACAATGGACAGAAAGACCTCATTGTGTTCTATAAACCAGTCTGGTAGGAAACCCATTGAATGGTCCAGTAACAGTCTGTGACAAGGACATCAAGGTGTCTCTGCACAGCCAGTGCTCACACAGACACATGGTACCTACCTGCAGAATACCAGCACCCTAGGGCAATCTGCTACAGGGAACAGTGACATGACACATTGGTTCAGAGAGGCCTCCCCAGCTCAACACGGCCTTTGAAGATTGACATGGGGTTGCACAGAACATTCAGTGGACCACCTGCTCCCACCAGCCAGCCTGTCGCCCTGGGTCCTGAGCACCCCACTGGCTCAGCATACCTTAGGACAGTGCTACTCAACCCAGGTGAAACATGGGGGTCACTGGGGAAGTTGAGAAAAAGTTGACGGCTGACTGCCCCTCCATGGGCCAGGCTTGTCTCGCCTAGGTTTTGAGCATAGCTGGCATCTCCAGGCAAGTCAAGAGCCAGAATCCTGGAACAGTCTGCATCTGCTGCTTGGGGACGCCAAGTCAAAGGGAAGACATGCCCTCAGGCTGTGCCAGTCACCCTCCCCCGCCCCATGTGACATTCTAGCACCTCAAACAACCCTGAGCTCCCAGACAGTCCCGGCCCCATCCCAGCACCTCCCCTTCATGGGTGTATTCAGAACCTGCTTGGCTGCCCTAACCCAGGCCAGGGATGAGCTACAAACGTACCTGAGGAGGCTGTGGCACGTGACCTACGCTCTTACCGATTGATGGGTCCATAGGTCTGGGTGGGCCACAGCAGTGAAAGAACTGTTAAGGCGCTAGTTCGAGTCAGTGTCCAGGCTCCAGCCTGTAGCTCCTGAGCCAGCTGACCAGACCTTTTTTTTTTTTCTCTTTAGGAACCAACCAGCCACAGAATCCAAGAATCCTATGGACTTCTGTCTACTCAATTAGACATTTAAATTGAGCCTAAGTTGGCAAAAGCAGGTCAGCAATTCCGTTAGAAATCTAGAATCCGACAGTGTGTCTGCCCTTGCCCTCTGTGGCTCCCTTATGAAGAACCTAACAAGATTCTTAGAGATGAATAAACCTGCAGAATTTAGCTAACTTCTTAATTAAGTGATGTACCGTCTCAGCTATGGCTCCCCAGCCCCGTTCTTCTTCCAGTTCAGTTCATTTCATTCTGTAAGTGGTTTGGTGGCAGACATCCTGAGCAGCAGGTCTGAGGGCCAGTGCAGGGGCAGGCCATGTGGGAAGCTGCTCCCAAGGTTGGTGTGCTGCTGCGGAGTAAGAGGGTCCTCCCTCAAGGTCTCAGGTAGAAATAGGTGCACCTGCCTACCTTGACAGTAGGGGGCCTTCATGAAGATGAGGTCAGGGTCTGGAGGACATGAGGGACCTGGTGGACTTAGAGGGAATTCTCCCTGAGCTGATGAGGGGCTGTTTTCAGGTCATGGAGAAGGCTTGGACCTGAGGTGAAGTAATACAGTGGCCATAGTCCAAAGTCTTCCAACGGTATCTGCTGCCTACAGCTCTGATCATTTAGAACACCCCAACAGTTCTTGCAGACCCTGGAACACTGGGAGGTGTGACCCTGAATAGCTGAATAGTCTCACATTGGGAGACCAGGGCTTGGGGTGGGTCCTGCATCCCAGCTCTGCTCTGTGGCCCCACCCTGTCCTCACACCTTTCAGGCCCTTGCAACCTGGATGGAGGACATGAGGCAAGGGCTTGGCTTGGGTCCTGCCTCTGGGACACCTCATTGCAAGCTGGTGTTCTGGAGTGACCCAACTATGGTTCCCTAGTCAACATCCTGGGTCCCATGATCTCTGTGGACTGCTGCCCGTTGGTACCACAGGAGGAACAAGACCCTCTCGTGTAGAGTTTCCGCAGCTGTGGGGGCAGCCCAGGCTAAGGGTAGGATTCGGCCTCCTCATCTTCCTCACCAAGTGCCCAGAGAGAGGAAGAACAACTCCCACCCAGAACCAGAGAGAAAGACATTCCCTGCCTAGGCTCTTTCAAATGATCACCCCATCACATTCTCTGCTGCTACAGCTTCAGACTGGCTCAAGAGCCCCAAAGACGTCTGTTCATCTGCCCAGTCACTCCCATCCTTGGGCTCAGAGCCTAGCCTACATCAACCTTGGCTTTCCTGCACCAAACTGACAGAACGGATAGAACCTAGCTTCACAACATAAAGACTACAGGCAGAGATTGGGCTAGGTACTGAGTGACCCCTTGGAGCTGAATGCTGCTGATACCATCACGACCCAGGAGCACAGAATGAATGAACGGAACCCAGGTCCATCTTTGTTGCAGAGCTGAGGCAACACTAAGGGGCACAGAGAAACTGGGACCCTCCTGACCACAAAGAAATGCAGAGGAAAAAAAAGGTAAAGGCAGACGGGCTGGGCGCTCCCTGGATGACCAGAGTTTGCCAAGTCACCACTGAGGCCAGAACCTTCCATGAGAATGGGGCTCTTGGAGTGTGGTGACTCCTACACAGGACACTCTGTAACCTTGGAAAGATGTCCTGCAGCTTCGGGCCCTAAGCCCAGACGCTCAAAGGGAAATATTGACAGACATTTATTGCTCATGAATATTAATGACTTTCGGGGGCTGAAAAATATCTTCAGTGAGTATTTCAAGTGAAAAGACAAGTACCAGTGGGCGAGGAAACATTCATGACAGATTAAACACAAAAGATCAGCCACATCCAGAATACATTGCCTCCCTCCTGTCACCACGGAGAAGACAAAAACATCACAGAAGGAAGGGGGCGAAGGACAGGAGCAGCGGCCAGTGTCACTCACAGAGAGCCCTGTGCTGTGGAAGGTTCTGGACTCAGGGACAGCTTGGCAATCTCCAGTGATCCAGGGCAGCTCACTCCTTTTCCCTCCCTTTTCTCTGTGGTCAAGAGAGCACCGATTCCTCCATGTCCCACAGAGCTGCCTCAGCCCTGGAGCAAAGACAGACTTCCTTCATCCATGGCTGTCACTCAGTCACAGTGTCTCCACTGCACATAGCCTGACTCCCACCTGTATTACATCACAAAACAAGGTCCCCCTCGCCTTACCACATGCGAGATCATGCGAGAGGACCCGATCCAGAAAGACGCTCAGCCTGCTGGGGACCAGCAACCCACTAATGAGATCATTGGAAGCTGCAGTTCTCCGTGTCTGAGCTGACAGAATCAGGAGTGGGCAGGTGCTCACAGAAGCCCATGCTGAGCAGCTCGGAGACAGCAGGAAGACATCTGTCCAAGTTAGTCATGTATCAGCCCATGGGTCTGCAGGTTCTGAGTGTTTATCCAATGTGGGCTGCTTGCCCATGGTACACAGACACAGCTCGTCATAAAATCTCAACCTCTAGGGTTGACAGCAAAGGGTGACTGCTCAAAACAAGTAGGTCCATGATAGTCGGCTCTGTCAGTGCACACAGAGACGGACTTCCGTCCATCTGCCATGCCGTGGACACTGGGCGGCATGGGAAAGTGAATGGATCAGGTCTACCCTGATATAGGTAGGACTCCAAACATGGTTACATAGAAGGTCAACACGGTTCTGTTAGACTAAGGTTGGTTTTACATGCACACATGCGTAAGCATACATCCATGCTCCCAAACACCCCTTCATTGCTAATGGTGCCTGGAAGAGCCGAACAGCTCTGTAGTGCTACTGTGTATGTTCATGTTTTCTGAGTCCTCAACCAGTGTGCAGCCTGGACCCTACCCACTTAAGTCTGGTACCCAGGACCTTGTCCTATCATTCCCTCTTTATCCTTTTTTTTCTCTCTCTCCCTTCCCTTTGTCATTTTCTGGGTGTCCCCCATGGGCTAAGCCCTGATCACACCCTAAGGGCACTGAGACAAATAGGTCCAGACCTCAGGAGGTCCCAGGTCAGTGCTGGGTGGGACCTCACCCCTCAGCCATGAAGTTGGCTTGAGGAGGGAGTGTTTTTAACACCAGCCTTCAGGACAGGCATTCCACAGGGCACCCACAGACCTCTAGACAAAGTGGTGGTGGTAGCAGGCATCACTGGCACCAGGATTGGGAAGGGGCTCCAGGACCAGCCGACACCACTCTTGCTGTTCTTGGCTTTTAACCCCCCTACCCCAGGCTGTCATTTGACCAACATGGAGGTCACTAGTTTGTGGTGGAGACTGTGTGTGTCGGTGCCTGGTGCTTAGTCCTGCCTGATTCCCAGCTGTGTCTGAAGATGCTAGCATGAGGCCTGAGGGCAACTCAGGAGGACCCGGCCACTGCAGCTAGTTCCCGTGGACTCCCTGGACTCCTGAAGTTGCCCTTTTTTCTAGTACCTTGCACATGGGTAAGTGCTCTTTATTAGAGACTCTGTGACTTCCCGATCCAGTGACGTGACACTCAGTGGCAGGGGTTGCAGGCAGGAGGAAACTAAGATAATCACAGCCAGTGACCATCTAGCCTGCTGGGCCCAGTCTTCACCAAGCAGCCTCTGCCCAGCCATGGAGCTTTGGTGCTGGTGATCATGTGGTATGGGAGGGTGATGCCTGTCCAGGCTGCCCTGCCCTTTGGCTTACAGAACCAGCACTGAGGGGCATGGAGAGAAAGGATACGCATAAAGAGAAGGGCAATGCTGCCTGGGCTGGCCTGGAGGAGCCCTTTCTGCTCTGCCTCAAAGGGAGGAGTGGCCCAGGCAGAGTCCCGACAGCCCTAGCTTCCACTAGGCCTACGGAGGCCCCCCGGCCAGCTGTGTTCAGGCAGCTTGAGGCGTGCACCTGACACCCTGGGACCATGCCATCCTCAGTGTGCAATGCCTGGATGTCCTTCGGAGGCAAGTGCAGGCTCAGTCTTGTCACAGATGACTTAGGCCCCAGCTATTCCCCAGACAGCCAGTGACGCTGAGTAGCACCCCAACTCAGGTGGGTGCCCATGGTAGAAATTAGGAAGTTAAGTCCATTTTGCAAGCCTCCAGCTTGGATGCTCTTGCAGCCAGCTGTGACTCTACAGGGCTCTGGCAGCACATCTGGATGGCAACAAGGCCTCCTGCTGTTTGGGAGCATGTGCTGTTTCCAAGGTTCTGGCTGGAATCCCAGGGGCTGCAGGGCAATGTGACCCAGGAGGAAGCAGGATGACCATGTCCAAGGGCATATCCCCAGCATTGCCTGCTGCCTATCCCCAAGACCCTGCCTCCATTTCTTCTTTTTTTCAAAGAAAGACTACAGCAGCATGTGTAGGTTAGGTTCCACCCCTGGCTGGGCAGCCTGGCCATGAGAACACTGGCTCGAGTTTCTCCTGAGATAGAAGCCCATTGTTGCCAGCTCTCCCATGGTGTTTCCCATGCAGAGCAGAGGCCTCCAGGCTGGCTCCTCAGTCAGGCTGGTTGGGCCAAGGGGCTTCCGAAAGATGAGCCAAGTGGGGCAGGTGCGATTTGATTAGGATCTGGGAATGTGTAAAGTGACCCGGTGGTGGGGCAGGAGGAGGGTGAGGGCCCAGAGTGTTGGCGTGTCCCTTGGCACTCTGGCTGCTCTGCTGAGCCCAGCTACCCTCCAGACAGGACATGGAGGCTGGGGGGGGGGGGGGGTGGAGGGGGGCGTGGTCTCTGTATCGCCAGGCACAGGCCTAGGCAAGGGCTGGCTGCAGATAATGCTGGTAAAGGAGCAGGTTCAAAGAGAACATTTCCACTGGGCAATTCTGTAACACCAAGTACATCCATCTGCAACCAAAACTTGTGTGTTCCCCCCACAGGCACCCTTTACTCTCTGCCTCTACTAGGGACCTGAGAGAAGTGTTGGTCCTTCCAGTGACTCACATTTTTACCGGGTCCCTGAGATGCTTCTGTGTCAGAATTCTCTTCCTTTGCGTAGCTGGTCAATGTTCCATTGTGTGGATGGGCCCCGTGCTTATCCGCTCGTCCCCTGATGGACACGTGGGCTGTTGGCCTCTTGTGAGCAATGCTGCCTGAGCACTGTGTGCAGACGTCTCTGAACCCCCCACCCCCTTCCTGCGTCTACATGCCCAAGGAGAGTTGCTCGGGCACAGGGTGACTCTACACGGAACCTTTCCCGAAAACACCAAACTGCTGTCTGCCGTGGGGTCACCGCTTTGCATCCCCAACAGCAGCACACCGAGGCTCACCCCAACCCTCGTGGACACTTGTGTTCTGTGGTTTTGATTATAGCCATTGTGGCGGGCAGGAGGTGGCATCTGTCCATGGTCGAACTCACATTTCTCAGTGATTAACACTGGTGCCCTGCCTCTCCCTGTGCCTGCTGGCCACTTGGACATCTCTGGAGAAATGTCTTTGCAAGACCTTGAAAGGGGCAGATTTTGCCACTCAAACGTTCTGTCTCACCTGAAGCCGATCTGGACGCTGGCCCCATACCTCCAGTGTCATCTTCAGAGCCACTGTTGGGAACTTGGCTAAGGACCAGGGGCTGGTGAAGCTGGTTGCCTCAGGGCCCTGCCCCCCAGTCTTTCCCAGCAGCCCCCAGGGTTCCTGGGCTGTACCCATTGACTGGCAGTGGCGCGAGAACATGCAGGCTGCGCTTTCTCACGGTTTGAGTTACAAACCCTAAGCGGGTTTAGTGATGGGATTAATTAAATGGATCAGAAATTGCCCTTCTCTGTGTCTGCTTTTCACCTTGCTTTCAGCAAGCACCTACTTCAGAACCATCAAGGACTTCCCCCTCCCCCCCTGAGACCAGGCGGCTCTCAAAACTACTGAGCGCCAATTAATTTGTCTCATTTACATGAAAAAGTGCAGAAGATGTCTTTTTACATAATTAACTATATTTTGCAAGTCATTAAAATTCTGAAGCCCTGCCCACAATAGCACCCTATTCACCACCAAAGATAAGTGCCTTGGCGGGTGGGAATGGCCCCCAGAGGGGCACCTCCCTCATGCATATTCATGAAGGGCTATGCTGCCAGCCCTTGCAAGGTCCCCCTCTCCCTCCCTAGTTTGGAAGAGCTGGTTCCTGCTGGCCCAGTGGGAGGGTAGAGGGCTGGGGTGGGTTCTTGGTGACCACTCCCTCCCCAGGCCAGCACAGAGCACTCTCGGCCTCTCAGAACTGTCTCCAGTACACGGGGCTCAAGATGACTGCATGCTCTGAATTTCCTGTCCCAAGTCTGCAGACCAGGCTGAGGGTGTCGTTTCTGGTGACTCTTCCCAAGGTAGTACTCTTCCAAAGGGTGGGGTCTTGTCTTGCAGGGGATGCCCCCCTCCCATGCCGGTCTGGTCGTACATTGCGCATGCTCTAGGCTAGAGACAGGACCCTTTCCTCTCAGCTCTCTTAGTCTCCTGTAGTCCAGCCAATGAAGCTATTTCTGAGCCTATGGGGCCCCGATGGGGCTCCAGTAGGAAGCCGCTGTTTGCAGCCCACTGGATCTGTCTCTCCTTGCTTCCCTTTCGTCCTCCATGAGATAAGCCCTCTGCTATCATTAATCAGGTTCAAGGGGACCTATGTTCTGCTGGGAAGCCCTGGTACCCAGGCTTGCAGGTGCCACATGCTGCTTCTGCAGACGCTCAGGTGCACTAGCCCAGCAAACTCCCTCGGGCGGGCGTGGGGGGCGGGGCCTCTTAGTGTCAGGTTTCCTGCTATGGGAGAGCAGCAGCCCCTCCCACACAGAGCTTATGTTCTTCCAGGAAGACTTCAGGGGACAGAATCATAGTCAGTTTGGAGTGGGACTTCACGGAAGGGCAAAGCAGGAAGCAAGCACAAGAAAACAGAGTCACTTCGGGGAAGAGTGGCATGGGGGAACTTAGCTGTTGACAATCTAGAAGGTTCTGTAGGACCCAGTGGCAGCCTGTGGGGTGTGACTCCTAGGGTGACCGAGGAAGTTCGGTGTGTTCCAGAGAAAAGGGAGGGCAGGAGGTTCAGATGCCCAACATTTAACTAAAAAGATCTTCCTTCCAGATAAACTGATTGTCCAGCTGGGTCCAGACTCCTACCAAGTCCACTCCTCAGCTCTTCAACCCAGAAAGTTATGTCCTTAGGACACTCTAATTAACCTAATTACATTGTCTTTCTGTTATAGGAGGGCCTGTCAAGAGTGGGCAGAGTCAACCCAGGAAATGTTCGGCGTTCCCCAGACAGAAGAAACTCAAGGAAGAGCAGCTGGGCACCGGGTCTTCCCTGCGAAGGGACATTTGACTTGGCCCATGGGCAGCCTCTGTCCTCCCACCCAGAAGCCCACCATAGACTCC